CACAGCAGCACAGGAGCTCAGGCAACACAGCAGCAGAGCAGCAGAGCAGCAGAGCAGCACAGCAGCACAGCAGCACAGGAGCTCAGGCAACACAGCAGCAGAGCAGCAGAGCAGTAGAGCAGCACAGCAGCACAGCAGCACAGCAGGAGAGCAGCACAGCAACAGCGCAGCACAGCAACACAGCAGCACACAATACAGCAACACAACAACAGAGCAACACAGCAGCACAGCAACACAGCAGCGGGTGCACTCCCTGTTCCAGAGGAGAAAAGTGACATGGCTTGTGCCGAGCGGAGCCTGCCAGCAGTCAGGACAAATTGATGCAGCTGGCATCCCCATGGTCCTGTCTAGACCCTGATGTCAACATGTCTGCTGTTATAGTTACTATCATTGTGAGGAATACTGTCATCATTAGTGTTGTTAACATGGGTGACAACAGGAGTAACAAAAACTACCATTTACCAAGCACTCAGTGACTTGCACCAGGAACAGGCTGAGGCAGTTTCACCAAAATTCTTTTATGTAACCCTCTCAACAGTGCTAAGAAGTAAGTATTGACATTTTCATTTCACAGGTGGGAAGCATGGATTCTAGGACGTCAGGTCTATGGGCCATCCAGGTCAGAACTCTCTTGACCTCACCCTGCAATGGGTCCTCTAAGGACCATGAGCCTTGGGGAAGGCAGGAACCAGGTCTGATTCAACTCTGTATGACCAGGTGCAGCACAGTGTAGAGCTCAATTTGAGTTGGAGTATGACACCAAGAGAAACATCCCAAGTCCCCGAGAGTCAGGGGTCTGTGCCCCAGTGGGCAGTGGGGTCTGACAGCGACCACCTACTGAGGTTCCTCTTCTAGGCGTGGGGGGGTCTGCAGCTGGATGGGACCCAGGACGACGTCCTTTTCCTGGTAGGAGCCCACATCCCTCTTGGACCTCATCACACAGCCTCGGTTGCAGCGGGAAGAGGGGTCATATGCCCTGCACACCACCATTTTACAACGCAGGTACACGGAGGGGAAGCGGTTCAGGAAGTGGAAGGCCCTGAACCGGAAGCGGGCAATGCGAGGAGACGGCTGGGAGTAGGATCCGTAGGTGTCATCCCTCACGCATCTGGAAGAGAACAGTAGCCCTTTAGCTCTCACCAAGGCCCAATTCTTTCTTCATGACTCAGTTATGCCAGGTGAGGAACTCCACAGCCTGTCCTCACTGCCCTTGCCTCCTGCACACCTGACTTTCCTTCTGTCAGAACGTGTGGATCAGACGCTCACTGTGGGGCCTGCAGACAAATCCTGGCAGCTCTGGTACCTCACCGCCATCTTTAGGTAGCAAAGCCTACGGGGTTTTTCCCGATAGACAAGCAGGCCCCATACTGCATAGTGGGTTGCAGCCTAATTCCACAATGACCACACGCTCCATGTACCCAGGTAAGCCTGGTGAGTCAGGGAAGTAGCTGGAGTTTGGCGCCCAGGAGCGGGACCCAGAGACAGAGCAGAAAAGGAAATGACCTTCCCTTCTCTCTCCTGGTGTCAGGGCCAGGCAAGGTCTCATTGGGCTGCACTCTGAGTACAGTGCCCTGGCCCTCCCTCTCCCAGGGCCTCTCTCTCCTGACCCTTGTCAGCCTGCCCTGAGCCCTATGCAACTGTACTTTCCACACTGGCCTGCGAACCCTCCAGTAGCCTCTACCCCGATATCAACCCCTTCCTCATTCCCTTGGGCACCTCCTCTCAGCCACTGTCAGAAGAAAAATAACCTAAGGATATGCTTACAGGAATTTTCTAAGATATGGAAGAAGCAGCTCACACTAACCCAGTTATTATAGATTGGTGGGATTTTGAAGGGTGCGGCAAACAGAAGAGCCAGGAAAGTTGGCCCAC